ACTCTCTGCAACTCTTCTTCCTGATATTTCCCAATCTTGCATTTCATCTCATTGCTTCTCGTATTTATTCCCTTACACTACTGGGGAAACAAGTTCTACACTGAAAAGTGGGTTCTCTTGTTTTGGTTGAGGGTTATGTGGAATATTTGGTTGTATTTTTAGTTAAGCCTCTTGTTTAGAGTCAACATCACCTCCTGAAGGGCCTCTGTATTTTAAAGGTGTTTTTTAGAGTGTAATTATCAAAGTGTATTTGGAACTCTGGTGGCCTACTGACAAAAAACTGTACTGAAATACCAAAAGCACACGGTTCAAGGCCACCAGCTGCTCTGCGGGAGAACGCTGGGCAATCTGATGCGATTAACTGCCTCTGAAAACTCACTGGAGTGTCAGCTATGAGTCAGTTCTGACTTGACAATGCACAACAACAACAGCACCTATAATTTAGAGGAACATTCTTCTCAGTGATACAGCACTGGTCTGTCAATTTGGTGTAGTGAGAAAACCTGGAGTGATTATGATGGTGAACTCTGTGCCATTGGGATGCCAAATGCCATAACGGTTACCCATAGTGGACAGTGTTTGGTGGGGCTGCCAGATTAAGAGATGTTTGGAAGCAGGAGTGGCATCTACTTCCTAAACAACATACCTCAGGAAACTCTATGAACTTTCAGAAATGATAGTTATAGAAAGGCTTCAGGTCTTTTGTTCATAGGGTCACTATGAATCGTGTTTGACTTGATGGCAATTAACAACAACATGCAACTTGAAATCTTGTTGAATAATAATTTAGTTAATGAAATTATAACTTGAAGTACTGTTTTGATCCTAGAATTAATTGAGATAAACCCATATGAATATTCTGTTGTTGTTATTGTTAGATGTCATTGAGTAAAGTACCACTCATAGTGGCCCTTTGACCAATAGCCCAAAACCTTCTCTATCTTGCATCATCCTCATGAACTCTGTCATGTTCAAGCCCATAGTTGTAGTCACTGTGTCAAGCCATTTCATTTGAGGATCCTCCTCCCTTTCACTGACTTTCTTCCTTTCCCAATATTATATCTCCTTCCAAGTATTAATTCCTCCTAAAAAGACCCCAAAATATTGCAAAATGGTGTTTAACCAACCTTTACTCTAAGGATCACATTGCCTGTACTTCTTTCAAAACAGATTTGGTTTGGGTTTTCTTGGCAGTCTTTTGGATATTCAGTACATGTTCTCTAGTCTTCCTTATTTATTCTCCATCTTTAAGATGCCTGTTGTTGTATTTGTCATGTGCCGTTGAGTCATTTGCGACTCATAGCAACCCTATGCACAACAGCCCTAAACCATGCTCTATCCTGCGCCAACCGCACCGCCTCTGACACACCCATCCCGATTACCCCAGTCACTGAATCAATCCATCTCATAGAGGAGGGTCTTCCCCTCCTGCACCGTCCCTCCACCCTCCCAAGCATGATGTTCCTCTCCAAGGACCTGTCCCTCCTGGCAACATGGCCAAAGTATGTCAGAAGAAGCCCTAGAATCCTTGCCTCCAAGGAGTTGCTTGGTTTACTCCTCTCCAAGATGAATCTGTTTGTTTTCCTGGCAGTCCATGGTACATTCAGTACTCTTCTCCAGCACCACAGCTCAAAGGCATCAACTCTCCTTCTGTCCTCCCTAGTCATTGTCCAACTCTCTGATGCATAACAAGCGATTGCAAAGACCATGGCCTGTATCAGGCTCACCTTAGTCTCCAGAGAGACACCGTTGCTCTTGAGTACTTTAGAGAGGTCCCTAACAGCAGACTTTCCCATTGAGATACGCTTTTTTATTTCCTGACTGCTGGTGCCAAGATTGTTGACCGTGGAGCCGAGCAAACTGAAGCTGTGAACAATCTCAATCTCTTCACCATCCATCCTGACACTGCCGATTGGTCCAGTGGTGAGAATCTTTGTCTTCTTGACATTGAGCCTCAGTCCATACTGAAGGCTGCAGTCATTGACCTTTCGCAGCAAGTGCATGAGGTCCTCCTCAGTTTCAGCAAGCAGGGTTGTGTCATCTGCATAACGCAGATTGTTAATAGATCTTCCACCAATCCTGATGCCACAATTCTCCTCATAGAGCCCAGCCTCCCGGATAATCTGCTCTGCATACGTGTTGAAAAGGTATGGAGACAGGATGCATCCCTGGCGTACACCCTTCATGCAGTGTTACCCTGCTCTGTTCTGACTACTGCCTCTTGGTCCAAGTATAGATTTCTCATTACATTAGCACGATTAAATGTTCTGGGATTCCCATTCTTCTCAGAGTCAGCCACAGTTTGTCATGATCCACACAGTCAAATGCCTTTGCATAATCAATGAAACACAGATAGACATTCTTCTGGTATTCCCTGCTTTCAGCCAAGATCCATCTAACATCAGCAACGATATCCCTAGTACCACGACCCCTTCTAAACCCAGCCTGGACTTCTGGCAATTCTCTGCTGATGTGCTGTTCTAGTCGTTTTTGGATAATCTTCAGCAGAACCTTGCTTGCATGTGAAATCAATGACACTGTTCTGTAGTTTCCACACTCAGTTGGGTCACCCTTCTTTGGAATGGGAACAAATATAGATATCTTCCTGTCAGTTGGCCAGGTGGTTGTTCTCCAGATTTCTTAGCACAACTTTGTGAGCACATGCAGGGCAACATCTATTATTAGCTCAGATAATAACAAAGAGGCATATCGCAGGTACAGAGGAAAAGCCGTTGGGAGGAGGTGCTGGGGGGACACGGAGAGTGCGCTCCTGGGCAGAGGGAAAGCCTGGAAGCTGCGGACCGGCGGAAGTCAGCTCAAAATGAAGATACCTAGGAAGCAATTAAAAATACCGTGGCTTAGATCAGGTGCACCTGAGTCTTTAAACTGACATTCTTGCTCTTTAGAACTTTGGAGAAGTTCTTGACAGATTTTACCAATGCAACATTTAAAACAAACAAAAATTCTTAACTGCTGCTATCATAGGTGTTTACTATGAAACCAAATAAAAAACATTCATTAACAACTTCAGTATTTTTTTCCATCTATCATGATCAGAATACTCTGTTGTTATTTTTATGTGTCTTTGAGTCACCTGCAAGCCATACCAACCCTATGTACAGTAGCTCTGAACCCTACCCTTTCCTGAGCCAGTCTCATAAATTCTGACACATCAACCCTCATTGTTTCAGTGACTGTAGCAATCCATATCATTTGAGGTCTTCCTCTCCTGTTCTGTCCCTCTACCAATCCAAACATGATGTCCTTATAAAAGGACTGGTCTTTCCTGGCCACATCCCAAAAGTATGTGAGACAGAGCTTCAAAATCCTAACCTCCAAGGAAAAAACTTGGTTTTGCTCTCTCCAAGACAAACCTATTTGTTTTCTTGGCAATCCATGGTATGTTCAGAATTTTCTCCAGCACCACAACTTGAAGTCATTGATTCTTTTTCTGTCATCTTTAGTCATTCTCCAGCTCTCTGAAGCACAACAAGTAATTGAGAATTTCATGCCCTGGATTAGGTGCACCTTAGTTTCTAGACTGAAATCGTTGCTTTTCAACACTCTGGAGAGGTTCTTGACAGCAGATTTTCCCAGCGTAATTCATCTTTTGATTTTCTGACAGCTGATATTAAGAGTGTTGATTTTGGAGTTGAACAAGCTATAATTGTTAACAACCTCAATTTCTTCTCTTGTCTATCATGGTGCTGCCAATTGACCCAGTGGTGAGAATCTTTGTCTTCTTTATGTTGAGCTTCAATTCATATTGAAGACTACAGTCCTTGACCTTCTGCAGCAAGCACTTTAGGTCTTCCTCAGTTTCAGCAAATAAGGTTTTATCATCTGTATAATGTAGATTGTTTATGAGTCTTCCTCCAATCCTGATGCCACATTCCTCAACATAGAGTTCTGTTCTGCAAATTGAAAAAGTATGAAGACAGGATACATCCCTGATACATTCCTTTCCTGATTTTGAATCATTCATTGTTTCCTTGATCTGTTCTGAAAACTGCTTCCTGGTCCAAGGATAGGTTTCACATGAGCACAAGCAAGTGTTCTGGGATTCCCATTTTCCTCAAGATTAACCACAATTTGTTGTGATCCATACAGTCAAATGCCTTTGCATAGTCAATAAAATACAGATGGACACTATTCTATTACTCTTTGCTTTCTGCCAAGATCCATCTGAGAATACTCTAGGTCCTATCAATTTAGCCTTAGTTAATTGTCACTTTAGTTCAAAATAAAATGATTACTGGGATGGAGATCTCAACAACTTTGAGAGGAGTATAATGTTATATTATAACCTACGTGTGGGCTCTGGAGTCAGACTGTCTAGGTTAGAGTCCAACTCTTTCTCTTGCAAGTTGTGTCACCTTGCACAATTTATTTACCTTGTGTCTTTTTCAGTTTTCTCATCTATCAAACAAGAATGGTGATGACAACAGTTATTCATACAGGCTCATTGTGTTGATTCTGTAAATATGTATAAAATATAATAGGGTAATAACTACATACCACAGTTTCAGTATGTTTTTTATTATTATGTTATTATTGTTGTTGTTATTTTAATGGTAAATATATTACAAGTTATCAAAATGATTTGCCTTGAGTAATGTTGCTTCAGGCGTTATTAATTTGTAGGCATGATGGTATGCCAGAATTAATACCTGTCCTATCATTCACACACCCGTAAAATCAAATTTAATCCAACTGAAGGAAGAAAATACTAAGGAGTGTTCATTTAAAGTTTAGCATTTAATCAACTTTATTTTTACTTTACAAAAAATAAATTTTATGTATATGTCATCTGTGCAGAAAAAAATCTATTACTAAATTTTTAATTAATTAATTAAAAATATATTAATTAAGTGCCATGTATAGTGTTAGGTATGCAGGAGATAAAAACTTAAAAAATTCTCACAAGAACTTTTTTAATTTCTTGGAGAAAATGGATTATGCTGAAAAAAAAGAAATACATAAAAGCAATTAGTGAAGACATGCGGGAAAACTGTAATGAAGAAGATAATATATTAAAGAGTTTCCAATTCAGTCTCAATCTGTTGATCCAGCTCCTCATTAAATGAATATATATTAATTATATATATGATTATACCATGGACTGCTAGGAGAACAAACATGTTCATCCTGGAGAGGGGTAAATCTGCCTGCTATTTGGAGGCAAGGACTCTGAAGCTTCATCTGACATTCTTTAGACATGTTGCAAGGAGGGACCAGTCCTTGGAGAAGGATATCATGCTTGGGAGTGTAGAGGGACAGAGCAAGAGAGGAAGACTCTATGAGATGAATCGATTCAGTGATTGGAGTAATGGATGTAGATGTGTCAGAGACAGTAAGATTGGCACAGGATAGAGCA